CCACATCGTGAGATCTCATACATCCAGCCAACCAAACCTATCAGGATCAGAGCCTTAGATTCTTCTTGCTCTTCTCTCACCCAAACTCCAAGGCTACCCACATAGCCACCGAAACACTCGACGGCAAGAGGGAACATATGCAGAGCCTCCACGCATGTTTGGGTATTGAAGACTCTGAGAATGGATTAGGCTTATCATCACTTCCCGAGAGAGGAAGTGGTTTGAAATGCTCAAGTAGAAGAGATGCACGTTGCAGTGGGTAGCTTATTCGAAAGTAGATGGTTAGAGAAATACAGACTGCTCTTCTTTTCATTTCGGAATCATTCACGAAAATTTTCATGCCATCTCGCTCCCATAGCTTTTAAGTCATTTCAAATTTTGAAATTAATTGTCACCATAAAATTTCAACTTTTCATCTACCCAATATCTAACAGCAAAGAATGTTACATTGAAAGATAAACTTATTTTCGTTCTTTCAAAACTTTACTATATTAAACTATTTTTTCTAGCATAAAAAGAGTTATTTTCAAAAATTTTATTTTATTTTCAAAAAAAAAAATTACACCTTTTTTTGAAAAGCGATAAGAAAAGACAAAGAATGAAGGAAGGAAAGAATATAAGAAAAGGATAAAATAAATTACTTAAAAAAAAAAGAACTATGGAAAAAATTATGAAAAGTGAAGGATAAAATAAAATATCGAAAAAATTATAAAAAAAATGAATAAATTATGAAAAAAAAGATGAATTAATTATGTAATAAATTCTTAATTACTTTAATGTAATTAATTGCTTAATTGTTTCAACATAATATGAAACAATTGACATTTTTTTTTTTTATTTTTTTCTCGTTTTATTTTTTGATTTATTACATGATTATTTCTGTTAATTGCAATTATTTTAATACCATTTATACTTTAAAATTTTAAGTTTACAAAAAGAAAAGAAAAAAAAAACGAACGATTTAACAAGACGACATGCTGTTGCATTTCTGCAAAATTTGTTTAATGATCGTATTAATGCTTGTTTAAATGGTTCCACAAAAATTTCCAATGGTACATCAGTGCAGGAGAATATTCGAATACCAGATGACCATTCCAAAAGCGCTAATTCTATAAAATTTTTTTTCCCTTTCCATTTCAATGATTCATTATGATAAAGTATAGTGTAGGAATTGATTACATTATAATCATTGATATTATTGTTATCATTATTAGGCGACATTATGCAAAATGGTTCGATAGTTTGACCATTTTAGTGAATGTATTCATTGTAAAATTTGACAACCTAATTGGAATTAGTTAGAAAAGAAAGATCGGAAAAGATCTGAAAAAGAATGGGCAATGAATATTGCGAAATGAATCATGCAAGTAATACTTCAATTCTTAAATGAATTATTTATACTTTTACCATGGTTATACTTTTGCCTTGACTTTAAGTGGATTACTATACTTTTACCTTGATTTTAAGTGGATTACTATACTTTTGCCTTGACTTTAAGTGGATTACTTATACTTTTACC